GTGATAGTGTTTGTTTGTGTACATTGCGTTATATTGTCGAGCGCCTTGCCTTTTCTTAATTTATGTCAGTTAATAGGTTAAACCCTTGGCAAGCTCTTTTCTGAGATGCTGTAAAACTTCGGGAAGTGCTATTCTACGAAATGATAGATGACATATATATGTATTTATTCAACCGCTTATATTCTGTAAACGAATACTTTCGGATATATCCGCCTGGTTCCCCACTGTGTGACGGATGCTGGCATAGGTGTGTATTTGAGTTTATGTATTGATTTTCTACGGGCGAATATCCTCACCTACACCCAAATCCTGACATGATTTATAATTTTTTTTCGTTTGTGAAAAATTCTGTGCGCAGCTACATAGTTTATTTTGAAAAACAAGGTGTACTTTCCTCAAGATTATATTCTTTTTTCTAACTAATGGCCATTGTTTAGCATTTCGATGTAATCTTACTTCTGTAAAATACTGTCTTACTTCACATTTTTCACATAAGGGTAATCCTATATGAATTCAACCATTGATACCGAAGTGGTGACCGATTTCGATGAAAATTTTAGGATTTGCAGAGCTTTTAATTCTAAGACTTTTGATAAAAAAAACTTTTTTCAGAAGCTTTTGTTTTGACTGAGATAAGTCCAAAATACCGTAAACAGGAGAAATCGAGGTACACTGAATAGTATAGAAGTATGGCGAAAACTACTTATAAACAATTTTCCAAAAAAAAGTGCCTTTCAGTGTATCTCGATTTCTCCTATTTTCAGTATTTTGGACTTATCTCAGTCGAAATAAAAGCTTCTGAAGAAAAAATTTTCATCAAAAGTCTTAGAATTAAAAGCTTTACAAACCCTAAAATTTTCATCGAAATCGGTCACGACTTCGGTATCAATGGTTGAATTCATGTTGAGTTACCCACTAAAAATTTTGCAGATAAATTATATATTGTTGTTAAACGGTTCAAAACTTTATTATCATTACTTTTAATATGGATATTTGTCGTATAAGTTGTCTTGATAATCATTTTTTTTCTATTGTTGTCCTTGATATATTTTTTATTAGCATGGGCAATTAATCTTCGAAATATCAAAATACTTAATTGTTGAGTACTTAAAGTTGAAGTTTTACGAGTGGCAGTTAATAGGCAAAGATACGAGAACAATAAAACGCATAAATCATTTTTTTTTTGCTAATATAAAAGGATAAAGTTTTACTGAGGAAGCTGTTTAGTTTACGAACTGAAGGTCTATCGATCGATACTTCGGTGTGTTCACATTTCTTGTGTCTTGTTTAGAAAGTCCTACAACGATTCTCGTAAGCCTCACTATTGTATGTATATACGAACTGAATCTTGTCCAGCTAACCATAGTAGGTCCCTGACGCGTTCCTTCCAAAAATTTGAATTTAAATTTTATAGAATTATATAGCATCTGTAACAGGTTCTGGAGAATGTTTGTATTGGATTGGTCAAGAAATTTTTTGCGTTTTTTTAAAAAAATTTCATTTTGATTTTTGACTACCAAAGTGCAACTAAGCTTCAATAATGTCTGCTCCATTACTATTTCTGACTTGTCGCCAACGCTCTGGAAGCGAAACAATTCCGCGTTCTTAGAACTCCTGAGAGTTTTGGCTGAAGAAGTTACCGAGGTACATTTTGAGGTCGTGTTCGTCATCGAACTCTTTTTGGCGCAAATTATTGACAAGAAAAAGGAAGAAACGATAGTTAGTGGAAGCCAAATCTGAAGAATACGGTAGATACGGAAGCACAGTCCATTCGAACTCCAATACTTTTTCACGCGTTAACTTTGCAACGTGAGGTCTGACGCTGTCATATAAAACATAAATCTTTTCCTGTTTTTCCAGAATCTTGCTGCAACTCGATCCAATTGCTGACATTAGATATCAGGAGTACTAATGCTACCAATTGGAAGAAGCTCCTAATGAATTACGCCTCTTACGCCCTACCAAGCGCTCAACGTGACTATCCTGGTTGAAGTTTCCTTTTTTGACGTTGTTATACCGTTTTGTCCAACTTCCAGCCATTGTCACTTGCGCGTGTGATTGACATAGATTATTCACTTTTCATCGCCGGTAATCAGACTGCGGAGCCATTCGTAATTATGATGAGAAGTCACTAGTTCCATACATGCGTCTACCCTATGTTGGAGCTGAAGCGGTGACAACTGGTGGGTTATCCAAACTCCATATTTCCACATTTTGCCTAATTCGCTCAGCTGTATTTTTACTATAGTATGAGAGCATCCAAGCCGTTCTGCTAGATGCCATGTAGTTGATCTCGGTTCTTCTTTACTGAGCTACTTTAATACATCCATATCCATCTTGAGACGAGGTAAATTGTTACGTTCGAAGCTTCTCTTCTTAAATCGATTGAGCCAATATTGCGCTATACAAATGGAGAGTACATCATTGCCCATCGTGTTGTATATGTTGCTTGCTCCTTTCGTCACTCTGTGATCCAAACAGAATTCATGAAGTAAAAGCACTCGAAGCTCTCTACGAGACTTTTACTTTTCTAATCCGAAACTAGCTTCTTTACTCATAGTTTTGTTGTTGTTTGCAAGACATTCGTGTCCTTTTCATATACTCTGAGTATGGAAAATTCCAGAAGTTTTGTGACTTTTTCTAGAGAGTTTTAATAAAAACGCAAAAACTTTCTTGCCAACCTAATAGAATACTCCCGCTGATTCTGAAAGAATCCTTCAAAAAGCCATGGAGTTCTCTATCAGCATCCTTTTAAAATATTGTTTAAAACCTTGGAAGAATATCAAAATTTTGTGGCTACGCGTTTTTATTCAGAATTGGAAAGTTTTCTAGTTGAGTCCTATTTGAATACCTATAGTAAACTGGAAATAATTCGGGAAAAAACTTGTTTTAAATCCAATGAGAGCTCTCAAATTTTGAAACTAGACGCTTCTTCCAGGATTTAGTCGTTTTTAGCAGAAAAAGCGACGAGTTCTTGTAGAGTTCTTGTTGGAACTTTCAAGGATCTTAAAAGTAAATGCCAATTATTTTCACTAGAAAATATGTACGTGGTATAAACAATTATATAGTACATGTTTTATAAGTAGTAATTATCAAGTTTAGATAAGAAATAATTACGTGCATATCGTTGATGGTTTTTAGAACAATATGCATCTTCAAATAAGTCGCATGTCACATGAGTTTTTTTTTATCAAGGAGAAGAATGCATTTAATTGTGAGTGTCGATGTACGTGTGAGTATTAGTGTACGTCACCGACTTGACTCTCTCGATGTCTACACTCACTCACTCACACCTTTAATGAAAGGTCGATCTTCTCCTTTTGCTGCTCACTCTATTCGATTGGACCTAGTCCTAGAAGTACTTCCGGTCATATTTCGTTACTATTCAATTCTCAGTCGAGTTTCTCCCTTTTATTTCAAATGTAGTTGTGTTCAAGGCGTTTTCTCACTATAGAAAACGATTACTTTAGCTCCCGATGACCGCTCTAGCAGGCAAGACTAGAATTCAGCCACAATCTCGTCACACACTCATACATAATACATAGAACTGATATGTTCCGAAGCGTCAGCCGCTTTTCCATTCATAAAGATTAATTCCTTTTTAACACAGAATGTGTATGTTTAGCTAAGAGAAGATGACCCAAGGGGGAGGAAAGCAGACTTCTGTACTTTTGCGTACTCTTCTCGGACTTCTTCGGACTTCTGATCTTCTGATGTACAGCAGTCCGATTTTTCCACTTGAGAGCAATATTTTGATACGGTTGTTGTTCCAAAAAAGGGGAAAGTTTAAGGTGAAGCAGGCCGCTGAGTCAGACACCAAAAAGTAATCATATTGTCGAATAACTGGATTCTATTCGAGTTCACTTAACTAGAGCGACGCCAATCGAATCGAATTGAGTACAGATTCTGTCGAATCAAATCCAATGGAATATGACTGAACCAATTTGGTACGCTAGCGACTTCCTTGTTAGCTATTAAAGGGGTGTCAATCCATCAAACGAAAAATAGAATTTTTCTATTGTTTTTCTCTAATATAAAGCTCATTCGATTTGATCTGGAACTTTTCAAATCTCATATTACTTCGAGATAATCTTAAGTAAACCTTATGCATTCACAATCTGCAAAACTTGTGAAGTAGTTTCTCGCATTTTGCAAGATATTTTCTGCACAGTGCCACATTTTTATGGTTTTGAGAAGTTTCTGAGATATTATCTGACTTCATAATGCGAGAAGTTCACTAGTCTCACAATGAGTAGAGTATTCCCATACTAAGTTTGACATTACTCATTTACTGAGAAAGTATTATTTCCATCTTCCATTGCAAAGCATGAAATTTTCAAAAAATTCATAGACGCCCTCGTTGTCGCTTTGGTCTGCATTTCACTTGGCAAAGCAGAGATCAATTACATATTCGCTGCTCTACGAGCTCGATAATGTTCGAATATAAGACTAAAACCAAACAAGGATTTCACAAGATAAAACCTGAGGAAACTTCAGTTTGGCATTGACGATCGAAATCGTTGAGTTTTAGGACGGTAGACACAATATCCAAAAGAACATAAGTATTAGTTATTAGCCGCCCAGGCGAAAGCCAGATAGACTTAATGTAAAAC